AAAATATAAAAAAATAAGATCTTGTTGTGGGATTAAATTTAGATGTGTTGTTATTTATGTATGACAACCACTTCTGTGTAAAAATACAATTCTGGTTGATGCAATTGATGGTTTTCAGAGTCAGAGATTCTTTATTGTTGTTCGCACCACATGTAGTGCATGTGGTGTGAACGAAATTATGTACACAGGGTCCCAGTTACATCCAACAATAAAATGTAAAATAAAAACAACGATAACATCTAAGATATGAACTAAGAAAAGCATCAACTAAAAATACACTAAGCACTAATAGCATAAAAACCTTACATCGATCAGCAGCACGAACATGAGCATGAGTCTGTGTGAGCAGAGGAGCATGCATGAACACATCAACATGAAACAGATCAGCAGCAACATTGAAACAGATCAGCAGCAACATGATGTGATTTACCACAGTTATTATTCTGGTTAGAGATTCAAGAGTCTAACAGCCTCAGGGTAGAAGCTGTTCCTCAGTCTGATGGTTCTACACTTAATGCTCCTCAACCTCCTTCCTGAGGGGAGCGGGGCAAAAAAGTGTGTGTGCTGGGTGAGTGGGGTCCTTCATGATGCAGGTGGCCCTCTTCCTGCATCTGGAGGTGTAGATGTCTGTGATGGTGGGGAGACTTACTCCAACATCTTCTGTGCAGCCTTCACCACTCTCTGCAAAGCTTTTCTTTCTGCAGCTGTGCAGCCTCCATGCCACACGTTGATGCTCGAGCACAGGATGCACTCCACTGGACACCTGTAGAAGGAGGTGAGGACTGAGTTTCCCAGACCAGCTCATCTCAGCCGTCTGAGGAAGTAGAGTCTCTGATGAGCTTTCTTGATCAGGCTGGTGGTGGTGTTGCTCCAGATGAGGTTGTCATTCATGTGTACACCCAAGTACTTGTAGCTGGAGACCACTTCCACCGCAGATCCTCTAATGTTCAGGGGGGTGTAGGTGTGTTTGTTCCTTCTGAAGTCTGCAATCATCTCCTTTGTCTTCTTCACATTGATGTGAAGGTTATTCTCTTTGCACCAGCTCTCCAGGTGTTCCACCTCCTGCCTGTAGCTGGACTCATCATTGTTTGTGATGCATCCCACCACCGCTGTATCATCTGCAAACTTTACAATGTGACAGCCTGGATGGGTAGCTGCACAATCATACGTGAGCAGAGTAAACAGAAGAGGGCTCAATACACATCCCTGAGGAGAGCCAGTGCTGAGGGTTATGATGGAGGAGGAGAAGTTGTGGATCCTCACTGACTGTGGTCTGTTTTTTTCAGCAGTCAACAGCAAGTAAACTTTAAACACTTGTTATTATTTTAAACAAAATATTGTCAGAACAGAAAACATTTTGCAGCTTGTTCAGAGCTGCCTCTGGAGAATAATTAATAGGACAAATTAAAAGAAGGTAATGTGCTGATCTGGTTAGAGTTCAGCTTGATTGATTTACATTTTCTTAGTGTGTTTAGTGATTTATTCCCGATGTTAAATGCATTTTCTTTGTAGACCTGACTGCACTGGTGTACAGCTGTTTCCTCATTCCCACTCATTTTTCTTTATGTCTGACACCCATCCGCTGCTTACATCAAACCTTTAGATTAAATCTTCTTGGAAAACTCACCTGAAGGTTTACATGTCTGCCCACTCTCCATCGTCCTATTTGCTGTCCTTACATCTCTCCTCTTGTTGGACCCCTGGACTGTTCCTTTCTTTTCTTATTGGAAAATAGAAAAAGACAAGTAAGCAATTGATCAACCTTCTCCCAGGCTCGTATCCAACAATGTTGGTGTCACTCCACCCCAGAGTATCACTCCACCCAAGAAGATCTTCAGAAATCAACTTTATTTAAAAAAAATACCAATAAAACTGTTTGGGGTTTGTTTGTTTTTGTTGCCCCCCCCCCCCCCTCAATAATTGTTATGGGAGATGAAAATTATATTATGGTTTATTTGACAATAATTTAGCAGTGTTTTGGCAGTGATTGTCTCTGCCCTTTGCATTGAAGGTTGGACATTTAAAACATCAGAGACAACCTTCCAATATTTTGAACAACATTAAGAACTGGTTATTTAGTTAATTGGTAATAAAACAGATATCTGTTTCAGTACAGCAAAGGTAAGTTGTAAAACATGTACCAGAATTTCAGAGTAAGAAAACTTATCTAGCACTAAACTCTTTGTCTTGACACATTCGTTTCACATGAGGCTTTAGGTTATGTATAGTTTTCACGCTAAGTCTGGTGTAGTGGATGATGACGAAGACATTGAAAGCCACATATACCTCCTTTGTCCACAGAGTATTTTAAAAATGTGGTAGAATAATCAGATTATTCAAATTGATGTTAATTAGAGCTGTTCCATCAAAAGACGGCACTATTGGATTGGATGAAGCCAAATCATCTCTGAAGATTCCTTCAACTCCACAAAAGAAGCTTGACAGACGTAAAAAAGAGCCGTTCTGTATTTGCTTGTTTTTGTTACATTTTTCCGCATTGTCTTCCTTTGTTATACTTCAGCCAGGGCGTAATTCAAAGAGAAACAAAGGCAGTGGATGAACAACCTGATATAATACATATTCATGGCGTCTGAGAAGCAGATGAGATGATCCACTTGTTCAAGGCACAACAAAGGTAGCTTCCACTCCTGCGTTATTCTCTCTGTTCCCAATCCATCCTCCATGCCTTCGTCTATAGTTGGCCTGTTC